TAGCACCCATGTTGAGTCATTTGATCACATGAGGGTTTCTTTCTGGGCTCTCTATACTATTCCATTGGTCTGTATGTCTGTCTGTTTGTACCACACTGTTTTGATTACTGCAGCTTTGTAGTATATTTTGAAATCAGAAAGTTTTGGTCCTCCAACTTTGTTCATCTTTTTCAAGACTGTTTTGGCTATTTTGGCTATCTCTTAAGATTTCATATGAATTTTAGGATGGGTTTTTCTATTTTTACAAAAAATGTCATTGGGATTTTGATAGAGATTACATTGAATCTGTAGATTGCTTTGGGAAGTACTGACATCTTAACAATATTAAGTTTTCCGATCCACGAACGTGGGATGTTTTCTACCTATTTATGTGTTCTTTAATTTCTTTCAGCAATGTTTTATAGTTTTCAGTATACAAGTCTTTTGCCTCGTTGGTTACATTTATCCCTAAGTATTTTATTCCTTTTGATGTTATTATACATGGAATTGTCTTAACTTCTTTTCGGATTTTTCATTGTAGCACACACAAATGTCTTCATCAAATTTTTAAGGTCACTTTTTATAGTCTCCTACTCCCTGCAGATAATTTCAATCTGCTCTTTTATTTTTTTAAACATAATAAGCATAGTTGTTTTATAACCTGTTTCTGATCATTCTGATAACTGAAGTCTCTGCAGGTCTGTTTTTGTTGGTTCATGCTCATGGTCCCATGTCCTTGTGTGCTTGGTTACTTTTGACTGATTTCTGCTTGCTGTCCTTGAGAACTTACCTGTGGGAATTCTTCAAGGCCTGAAATAAAGATGTCTTCCTCCACAGAGGATCTGTTATTTCTTCTAGGCATTTACAGGCACTATGGTATATAAGTAATTGAAGTTTGCTGGACCATCTAGACAATATACCTAGGTTGCAATCTATGTGAGAACTGTCCTGGGCCACAACTTCTTAGGGACAGGCTTTATTACTTTTCTTTTTCTCCTCTGCTCCACTAAGCATCAAGACAACCTTCCCTGAATTCCCCTAGACATGAGCTTATCTCTGGTTCATACTCCTATTAGTCTCCCATCCTTTGTGACTAAAGGGAGACTAAACACATCCTTTGGTTCCTCCTCACCCTGTGATTATACCCAGGACCAAAATGCAAATTGCTAATGCCCTCAGAGTAAAAGCGGTTTTGGAGCTCTAGAAATCCATTCACCCGGCTTTCCACTTTTCCTTCAATTTTGGTCTCATAGTTTATTACTATCATGTCACCTCTTTGATGCTTTTAAGGAGATAAGTTTTACAGTCTAGCCAGCATTTTTACTTGTATTCAGCAGAAGAGTTGGTCTAAATAACCTAGCCCACTACTATCAGAAATTCCAGCAACCAACTTTTTAAAAAACCCTCCCTACCATCCTCTCTTTTCTCCCTCATAGTAAAACTTCTTAAAATAATTGTCTAAACATGCTGTAACCACTTCTACCTCCCATTTACTCTTCAACCTACTCCAGAGTTGGCTTCTGCCTCAAATACTCCTTTCAAAACTGCTCTAGCTAAGGTCACCTATGGCTCCCTGTTGCTAATTTCAATGGATATTCATTGTCTTTGATCTCTTAAGCAGAATTAGAGAGAGTTTGTCTTTTTTTATTGTTGTTAAAACACTCTTTCTTGATATTCATGACACGACATTCTTATGGTTTTATTCACACCTCTCTGCTCTCCCTTAACTGATCTAGGAATTAGTTGCAATGGGATTTAACAGTAAATGCTCTATGTTCTGTTCTTCTCTTCACTTTTAGAAATTATCTGAGAAACTTTACCTAATAGAAATAGGCACCACAATCTATTTGCAAAAACTATTATGGTATTTATCATACCATAAATACTTATATCCGTCTCTCTCTTATTCCCTATAGTAAGCTGTTTTGGAACAAGTTCATAACTAAACATAAGCACTGAATAACTGGCTGTTGAATAAATCAATGAATAAATAAACAAACAAAGGTTAACATGCTATTGCCTTCACCCTCTCTACATTTTGGCCAATTTCTTGAAAAGCAGGTGCAAATCAGGACAAATATGCAATGTTTTTACACACTGGATAAAATGTACTTGCTAGGAATCTATCATTAACACAAAAGGATTATCCATTAAAAATTATATGTAACATGTTCAAAATATCCAAATAAATTACACAGTAAATACGAATGCCAAAATTAAATATGTAAAATCACAGTGGTTTTAATTTGGGAGAGCCAATGGGAAGAAGCTGTTTCGGTTAAGTCGGAAAGTGATAATTTTACTCTGCTAAAAAAAGAAACAAAAGGCTTCTGGTTAATAAGGAAGCTTTAGACAGAGGAGCAGCCCTCTAAAGAATAAATGGAAGTCTAACAGAGCTTTTGCGATCAGGTAGGAGACACTCCAGGGACAGCTAATCTTTTTCAAGACAGATCCGACTACTAGGGGTTCCGTTTTGATCTTTTTTTAAGATAGTGCGCAGGATACTTAAATTGAATTACATTTGGGCCAAAGTTGCCAGTCTGTTTCTTAAGTCAGAGACAGTGCAGCAGTAAGATTTCCAGGATTCAGGCGTGAAACGCAATCCCAAACAACCCTGAACGCTTCCTCCGGCGACAAACCGAAGTCTTGAGAATTGAAAAATGGCGTTCTCCTACGGTTAATTTGGATTTCTCTCAAATCTTGACAGAGACGCACGCAAAATTGGGCTCTTATCAAAAACAAATGTTGGAACCCAACTGCTGTGGGCTGCCCTCCCCATTCGTGCTCATCCTCAGGCCCAGCCCAGGACCCCGCCGCATGCCACAGGGTCGCCGGCGGGCCGGGACCCCCACCTGCATGGTGCTCCGCCTCGCCTCTCACGTGCCAGCGTCGTCCGACCCCTGGCGAGGGACTCCCGACTCAGACCCGGCGTCTCCTCAAGCTGGGGAGAGAGCCTGCCGCAGGCCGGACGGTTTCCACCGCTCCCGGGGAGGGGAGGGAGAACATGGACCTCTTACCCACGTGCGCCCGGCGCAGCTCTGTTGCCAGGCAACGCGGAGGCGTGGCCTAGAGGGTGGCTATGGATACGGACTCACCAGGTTCCGGGGCATCTATCGTACCAGCGGTGCCTTTTCTTTCGCCTGTGGTAAAGGTGCTGTGGCATTCCTCCCACCCTTACCTCCACCACCACCAAATCAATGCCTTGTTCCCGAGCCTCTGGCACTCTTCAACCCGAGTCCTGTCTTCATGGAGAAATAACAAAATCCTGGGGAGAGAACCCTTCAGAGAAGGAGTTCTTAACCTGGAGACCAGAGCCTATATTTAGATGGATTTTAGGGGCTACCTAGCCCTCAGCCCTCAATTGTACACATAATTTTGTTGGATGTGTATATTTTGGGGGGAAAGTTAAGGACCAGAGCTTTCATCAGGTTTTCAAATGGCTCTCCACCCCCATCTTATAAACCCACTGCTTTAGAGGACAGGAGCTCTGGCTTTAGGTAGGAAACCTAGACAGTAGGGTTCCTTGGTCTTTAGGTTAAGGAAAAGATGTTTGCTGAGAACTGCAAGGACCGTGGAGAAAACATTTGATGTTATTGGCGAATAAAGTTATACACATGGTCACAGAGATATACTGCTAGGATTTGGAAAAGAAGAAAAAAAATGTTTTTAATGACACAATTTTAAACTTAGGTTCAGCATTGGACCACTCCCTCTGTAGTGCCCCATTAATACTTGATACAAACCTTAGACTCTTAGTAGCCTGTATATTGTTTGTGTTTGTACATAAGATATTAATCCATTAAATATAAAATATTTTAAAACGTCCCACAATTTTTGCAACCATGTTTTGGTATGTCTTTTCTTCTTCTTTTAATATCATGAGGAGCCCTAAAAAATGTATGTGGCCTAAGTCTCTCTGGATTTCTGAGTGGCCCTGGGAACTGCTGCTTAAATTAGTATTCAATTCCTTTTTATTATTTTCACAATCCAAAATCCAGGCTAGTTGAATTACATAGCACTAGCTAATGTTGCCCTATACATCTGTGGAGGCCCTCTCTGCTCTCAAGCCCTTATCTTGTCAAGGCAATTCATTTTTTAAAGGAGAATGTACTTTTTGTCCTTTTCTGCTCCTTCTTTCCTTATGTTCTTCACACAGGTTTTGCCAAGAAGTGAAATTCAGGGACTTTGTTAGTAAAGGCATAATTTAGGCTATAATCAGTCATCAACATTAGTAAGACAAAGTTTGTTAGATACTCTACTCTGAAGAACATAAGACCTAATCCTACTCACTTAGAAAGCCGCCCTTCTCTAATCAGCCAGAAACCTGCTTGGTAGAGAAGGTGGTTATCCAAGAGCGGGGTCAGAAGGGAAAAACCCAGGGGAACCTGAAGGAAGATATCTCAACATCCATCTGAGGTTAATTCTGTGTCCACTAAACACTGATCTGATGTAAAAAGTTCTCCAAGTGTGTTCATGTTCCTCCACTAGTAATACTGTTTTCTTTCTGGTAATGGATGAAACTGGTTGCCTTTCAGATGTTGCAGGGTGAAACAACTTATTTTAAGATAAACTGAATACTAGTAGTTGGTAGAAAAGCTAGCCTCCCGATATGTTTGTAGCAATCAGACATCTATTTTATAGTATATACATCAGAACTTGCTTATTGGACTATTGGATGGATCATGGCCAAATTCTCTAACTAGTGTAGTTTTAGATGGTATTCATATTCTAAGATTGTTAGCTACTAGACATTCTGGTATTTATAAGAGCTGGTTATTTTGTCACTGATGAAATCCAAATAAAAAACTAAAATAGCTCATTAAAAAATAAACTCTCTACTGAGTGCCTTTAATAAAAATAAAAGAGCATGTGTATCAGTACTGTCAAAAGCTGCAGGGATCTAAGGAACATCATTATTTACAGCTTTATTACACACTACCATTACAATACTAAGAAAAAATATTTTAAGATTTCTAAAAATTTTCAACAAATTAAACATTTACAATCTGAATCAACTTTTATTGAGAATGTTTACAACGCAGGGATTCTCAAACATGGTAAACTTAGCAAGGATTGTTTTTGAGAAGAAAACAAAATGTCAGTACATTTTATATTCCATGGTGTTGCTTCTGTGGAAAATAGTTGGTATCCTGTAAAAAAAAGATAAATCAAATTTAGATTCAAGTATAAATGAGTATGTGAATGTGTGTATATAATGTTTGTATACAGACTTTTCTATAAATATTTTTTCATGTATGATAAAATTGACATTGGAGCTATTTCTCAGCTATTCTTCAGTCTGTATATTTTAGTTATCATTTAATCTCTCTGATAGAACACTTATTCTGTATGTCTGTATTTTCCAAAATTTTGTAGTATTTAACTACGTAAAAGTGATTTCTGAACCAGCCCTGAAGGCCCAGCAGTTAAGGTTTGGCACGCTCTGCTTCAGTGGCCGGGGTTCAGTTTCCCGGCACGGAACCACATCACTTGTCTGTCAGTAGCCATGCTGTGGGGGCGGCTCACATAGAAGAACCAGAAGAACTTACAAGTATACACAATTATGTACTGGGGCTTTGTCGGGGGAGGGAAGGAAGAAAAAAGGGAGGAAGATTGGCAACAGATGTTAGCTTAGGGTGACTCTTCCCCTGAAAAAAAAAGTGATTTCCTCAAGCTCATTGATGCCAATAAGATTTATGAATAAAATATTTCAAAAGTTGCATGATTATTCCTCATGTAGTTATTTCCTTGTGTATTTGCCATTAAATCATCCTATTTTATGTCTAACCACTTTCTAAGTAAATATAATTCATCAGGACACAGTAAGACCTCAGATAAGCAGATGGGAAAAACAAAGAAAAATTATTATTGAAGTATTTCTCTATTGACAAAACAAAATCAAATCCTGGGTGAATTAGTCTATGTAGGCCCTAATCTTGGCAACAATCCAAATAAAGCTATTTTTCTCAGTTTCAGAGAGAACTTTTTACTAAACTGATCAAATTATGGATTAAATTCCATTTCACATTTTTGAGGACCTTAACACTTAGTTTCGTTTTCCAATCACAGACATTTTTTCCATTTAATATTAAACTATTTTTTGTTCACATTTTGTAAATGCCTCTACATTTTTAATATTATAAAAGATAGTTTATTTTCCATTAACTCTTTGTTCTTAGTTCCTTGAAAAAAGAAACAATTAAGAAGATGTTTGCTCATATTCCTGAGGTGAACATAACAAGCCTTTGCTGAAACAGGAGTTAATGCCCAACACAGTCTGAAAATTTAAGTTCCTAATTATGTCCCATGAGCACATTAAATTTTTTCCTTCACTTTTTCAATATGTGTATCTTTTATTTATTTCTTATCTAACTGAATTGGCTAATGCATAAGAACTACATTAAATAAAAGGTGACAGAGCATCCTTATTTTGTTCCTGACATTAATAGAAATGCTCCAAAGCATTTTACTATTAAGCCTGCTACTGACTTTGTTTGAGACCATTATATTAATGATGTTAATAAAGATTCATCTCTTTCTATAGGATCTTTTTTTAAAACATCAGAAATTGATGTGGAATTTTACCAAAAGCATCTACTGAGATGATTGTATAATTTCTCTTCTAATGGTGACAATATTTTAATAGACTTCCTCATGTTGAACCATCCTGAGTTGCCGGAACAAACTTCACTTCATGGGGTCATATAATTTTTTAAATATACTGCTGAATACAATTTACTAATATTTCTTTAAAATTTTTGCATTGATATTTATAAATAGGATTGGCCTACAGTTCCTTCTTTTATACTACTTTTGTAAGGTTTTGGTATTAGTATTTGTTGGCTTCATAAAAAATATTTTGAGATTTTTCCTTTTCTTCTCTGAGCTGGAAAAATTCAAAATCTATTGGCCTAGTACATTTGAGGGAAGAGTTTCTAGATAATGTTTTTAAGTTTTTTCCTTGGCCATTGGTCTTTAAATCTTTTTTTCTTTCTTCTGAGGTCAGTTTTGGTAGTACCTACTTTACTAGATAATCCTCCATTTTACGAGGTTTTCAAACCGATAGGCACAGATATTTGCAAAGTACTCTTTTACGATTTCCATTTCTTCTATATCTATTTTAATTTCCCTCTTTTCATTTGTATTTTTGTAAAGTTATAGTTTCTCCATTTTTTCTTGATTAGGGTAGGCTAATTAGGCTCTTTTATTTTACTTTTTGCAAAGAAGCAGATTTCGCTTTATTTATCAATTCTTCTATTTTACTACTTTATAATTTATTAATTTCATCTTTCATTTTATAATTTTCTTCCTTTTCCTTTCCTGAGGTTCACCTTGTTGTTCTTTTTTAACTTATTGAGTTAAATTCTTAATTCACTCATTCTTTCTTGCTTGATAGTGTTTAAAACCTCGAATTTTCTACTGAACATGGCTTTGGCAGAGTCCCATACATTTTAATATGCAGTGTTTTCGTTATCTTTATTTTCTAGATATTGTATACTTTTGGTGTCATCTTATTTAGTTAGAAATAGTGCATTTTGATTTTTGTTTCTATGACAAAATATTAAGAATTTTAACATTCTTAAGCTAAATAAGTAAGGGATATTTGCAAAAATATGTTCAGCATACAGGATTCAGGATTACATTAAGTTAGCAGAATATACTTTTATTTCTGTGGTATAAATCTATCAATCTGCATTTGGGTTTAATTTCAAAATTCATCATCTAATAAGATATTAGGATTAACATATTTATTAAACATGTAGGGCCATTCAATAGCTACGAAGTGTCTACCATATCTCCAGCATTGAGGTGGAAACTCTGTGAGTCCCTAAGTAGAAGTCATGCTCTCGTGTCTTTCTACATTTTCTTAGTTCTCTAGAAATGGCAAATCATAGCTTTTATAAAGAATCTCTGAATACAGGTCATTTAGAAGACAGCAATGCATTCAGTCTTTAAGTTCTGGCCCAAATGTGGACACTGATTACCATGATAAGAACACAATCCCTGATGTATATTACTTGCACAACAAATGATGATAAGGTCAATGTCTACAAAATCAATGATGACTATTGTGGAATGCACAACATGGGCAACACAAATCGCGCCCTAAAATACTGGTATTTTCCATCATACAAAGCCCTCACAGCCCCTATAATTGTAGTATTTATAGAGAACATTAATGTACACATGCAATCAAATAATATAAATATACTGAGCATAGTTTAATTTGTGAATATCTGAAAACAAAATTTTCAAACTGGGTTGCATTGTGAAGCACATACCATTTTAAATGTAACCTTCTGACCTTCTTCCATTGCGTGGCTGGAAATAATAAATTAGAAATAAATCAGTGTAACTAACTACGGTGGGAAGTTAATTTTCATAGAAAGCAGCCTAATGATCTCGATATGTGGTATTATTTCTTGCTTTATTTAGTTTTGCTCCTTCCTTCAACCCATTCTCCAATTTGTTGTTAGAATTAGTTTTCAAAATGCAAATCTTACCATATGGCTCTCCTTAGCTTTTACAATAAAGTTGAAATTTCTTAGCTAACTATTTCATTGGCTAATTCTTGTCGATTCTTCAAATTCAGCCCTTGTAGCTTTCTCTGTACCTCGTCCACTCTCTGGCTTGGGTTAAGTGCCTTTCTTTTAGAAAGCACAGGCCCTGGATTGAAGGTGCATTTAACATAGTATTTTGTATTTGTTTATTTATCAATTTCCTGTATTTGTCTGTAAACACCTAGAGCATAAGAATGGAATCCTATCTGTCTTTATATTCCTATCTCTCTTGTATGCTTTGGTACATTGCCCAGAGCCCAATAGAAATTCAATAAATAGCTGCTGAATGAATAAGTGAAAAATCTCTGGTAATGTATTAAGCATACAAACATTTTAGAAAGTATAGCTGCTTAGAAAGAAATTCACATTTCATAGACAATTTGGACATGCAAAATACTAATGCAATTACAAAGTTTTGTCTACTCATAGCCTCTATTGTGGTTGCTTCTTTTATTTTTAAAAACTTATCAAAATAGTCATAACACTTCCAATCTCCTGCATCAAACATTTAGTAAACAATTCCTTGGAACTTAAGGAGTAATGCGTCGTTAAGACACTCATTTCCTGCACATGAAATGGTGTGGAACTTAACTGTGAAATAGATGAATGTCACTTGGGGGATTTACAAACACAAGCAGTGGATTAGAGAACAGATCAGAGACGCCAGAATATTAAAGCAATAAGGTGGTGAAAGAAATGAATCTCAGACTATAACACCTTATGTCAAATATCTATAAATAAACTTCAAAACTTAGTTGAAACTTATGAGTTAATATAAGTAAATGCACAATGAAAGTATTTTTCAATTTTGATATTGATTGATTTTTTTAAAAAATCAGTATGTGCACACCCTGAATAGAAAATATCTTCGACTTTGGCTTGCAAAAGGACCTTGAAATTCTTCCTGGAAAAGAAAATGAGAGCATTACAAATCAAATAACAGTAAAAATAAGTGCAAATTCCTCTTTAGAGTATAGTCAAGCTCAAAGTTATTTTCAACTATCATAATTAAACAAAGAGGGAAATCAAGGACTTGAGTATATAATTCATATCAATAAGTAATCTTTGTATTTATACCTAAAGAATTTTCAACAACTAACAGTATCATCAGAATGTTGTATTTTAAAATAATTTTCTTATCAATACAACAGATTCTATTTTCAGGAAATTAGTTGTATGTATATTCACCAATAAATAGAAAGAGAAATGACAGACACTTCGTAGATAATTAACCACATTTAAAATCTCCTTTCAGCATTTTGTTAGAGCGAAATAATTTCTTTAAAATACATATTGCATGTGCTAACACATGAACTGGGAAAAATATAAAACAGGATTGTGTCAGAACTAAAATACACAATATTTCTATAGGAATTGAAATTGAAATTGAGGGACAACTTTGGTAAACTATAATTGTTCAGTGAGACTTCAGAAGAGATTTTCCTAATATAATTATATTTACATAAATGTTAATAAAAAATACCAAATAGGACAAACCAATTATTAATAATAGACATATTTTGAAGTGTTTTCTTAAAACATTTCATTTTAAACTTAATGGAAAAAATAACATTTTATGGTTTCCATAAAATTGGTTCTTGTAGCTTCCTATTTTCAACTACTTTTTATAGAAGTATCAGGAAGGCAAATTTGTCATCAAGACCTTTTTCAATTATTCCTTAATAAAGTACGATCATATTTTTAAATTCTAAGAAATGGCTCTGACATCTATTAAGATTCTGAAATCCTTGCTTTACTACAAATATATCTTAAATTCTCAATATTTTGTACCTAATTCTCATCTGACTATAAACCCCACAAATTACTTAAAAGATTGAAAATTTTAATACTTAAAAATGTACACATAGAAACTATGTATTTATATGCTTATATAAGAAAAGTTATGGGCTGGCCCCGTGGCTTAGCAGTTAAGTGTGCACGTTCCGCTACCCAGGCGACCTGGGTTCAGATCCCGGGCGCGCACCAACGCACCACTTCTCCGGCCACGCTGAGGCCGCGTCCCACATACAGCAACTAGAAGGATGTGCAACTATGACATACAACTATCTACTGGAGCTTTGGGGGAAGAAAAGGAGGAGGATTGGCAATAGATGTTAGCTCAGAGCCGGTCTTCCTCGGTAAAAAGAGGAGGATTAGCATGGATGTTAGCTCAGGGCTGATCTTCCTCACAAAAAAAAAAAAGTAAAAAATAAATGTTTGAAAAAAAAAAAGAAAAGTTATGTATATTATATTAAACAGAAAAAAAGGTAAGACAAAATGTAATTTAGAACGTGCCAAAATTTAAAACTTTCAAATCCAAACATACAGGTCTTTTTAGTCTTATCATTGAAGACATAATTGTAAACAGATAAAAGAATTTGGGAAGTAGAGGCAAAAAAGATGTGGGGATGGAAGTGAGGATGTCTAGCAAACAAAATTTAAGAAAAGTGTTTGGACACACTAAGGTCTGAAAGCTCACTTTCTTTAAGAACCTAAAACCTTTCAGTATCAAAAATATGTTAGATGACTTAGGCCCAGCAAAGTTAACACTCTACTGTAATTTTTTTTCAATGCATGCCTTACATTCTTTTCTTTCACAGGTTCCTAGGAAACTTGGCTTGTTGCAAAGTACTTGTAGAAGTTATCATTTGAGCAAGAGGATATACTACTATGTCAGAGTTCACATAGTCAGCTAGTTGTCTGGAAACATAGTCTCACTCAAGGTGAAACATTCAGACAAAGTACCAAACTGGCCACAATACTGAGCATTTAGCTTTGGTATATTGACATTGAAGTGATGTAGTAAACTAATAATTGGTCGGTGTATTTTAAGAAACTGGATCTTTACATCAAAATCTTATACTATTCATAAGTCAAGCAAAGTCTTCAGAAACTAAAACTTAATTCAAAAAAGCATATATTACACCTCTAGAAAGTCTGATGACAACTGATTTGATTTTTTTTCATACAGGAAATTCTAAATTTTAAGAGGCTACTATGGTTCCTCTTACATTTCTCATTTAAGTTGGCAGCAGATACTGTCTTCCTTGATGGAAGTTTAGTTTAAGAATGTGAAGAATTTAGGGAGGAAATAGTGACCATAAAAATAAATATTGAGGAATTTATTTGCCTGAACTGTTTGCATTTTAAAAAGTATTTGAAGACTTTTGGTAGAACTTTAAGAATAACAAAATTAATATGGTATTTAAATTAAGGAAAAATCTAACAATAAACCAACAGAAGTAGCCAAGATTAGACTATAAAGGGAATGACATAGTGAAAAAAATATTTGCCTAGATTAGAAGTCAGAAGATTCTGTTGTAATCTCTAATCTCATTTACTACAATGATCTTGGGAAACACCTTTAACTATTCCGAGTGGTTTTCCCTTTTGTAAACTGGGGATAACAATACTTGTATAAGTACTAATAGAATTGCCAAAAGAATAAAATGAAATACTATAAGACTTAAAACCATAATGCATTACAAGAATGTAAGGCATTACTTAAAAATAATACCTAGAAACTTTCATCATTGAAAGAGTTAGGATTCTTTTTTAATGACAATAAAAACTCCACAATTTCCAGTTAAAACTCAGTTATAGTCCTCTTAAACATAGATACTGGATTTGGGCCATATATTTTTTTTTTTTTTGTGAGGGAGATCAGCCCTGAGCTAACATCCGCTGAGGAAGACGGGCTCTGAGCTAACATTTATTGCCAGTCGTCCTCCTTTTTCTCCCCCCAAAGCCCCAGTAGATAGTTGTATGTCATAGTTGCACATCCTTCCAGTTGTTGTATGTGGGACGCGGACTCAGCATGGCCAGAGAAGCGGCGTCGGTGCGTGCCCGGGATCCGAACCCGGGCCGCCAGTAGCGGAGCGCGCGCACTTAACGGCTAAGCCACTGGGCCGGCCTGGGCCATATTTTTGTTAATTGTAGAAAAAAACAAAATGCCTACATTTAGTTCTGATATATTTACTTCACGAGCCTTACTCTTACTAACATTTTAATACTTGGATAGAAAGCTTGCCATCCTAGCCATTTGCCAACCTGTATACAAAGGGGCGGTAAACTATCCTTTATCTTTTCTCCTATTCCCACCTGACAACTGGGCACCTGCCATGTCCTTTCTTAAACCAAGAATAGGCTTCCTCACTGGGAGGGTCATGGCCTTGGAAGGGAATCTATTCTCAGCTTTCCTTACTGCCCACAGCCTGAGTTAGCATGGACATAATATGCGGAGAGGGCACAATTCTCTTCTTCCTGAGCGTGAAAACACTTGTGCAAATAGATGCTCTTTGGTAGCGGACTGGGTGTTTACGTGGGGCTTATTCTGAAGAAGAGTATTTTGTAAACTACCACAACTGGGAATTAACGGAGAGCGCTGCCCCACACAGAGTGGCAAAGCCAGCGTGCAGTTCATGTTACATACGTCCACTTTGAATCTCTTCATTCTTCTCTCATGCAGTTGAGGAACGAGCTGCAGCAACGGATGCACGACAGACGACTGAGAGACACGAACACAGACGTGATGAGCACAAAGGCTTCTTGGAATTGGGCATAAAGATAGTTTCCTATTGGTTTGTTTTAGGTTTTGGTTTTACCCACTCTACTTGCTCCAGATAAAAAAGAACAAGAAAGATGTTATCTAAGACAGCCCTTTGTGAGCCCTTCAAAGAACTGTGGAGAATAAGCTAAGAGAGGGAATAAAATTCTGTAGCTCTACGCTAGGATCTTTGTCATTATGTTGAAGAAGCACTTTCCTGGGGGCCTCAGCTCCATCATCAGCTGCCAACAAGTATCACTCACCTGCATCTTTGAGAGGCAAAAAGCTGTCTGCTTCCAGACTTACTAAAAATGATTCAGGGCAGATGAAACCAACTCTGTGAGAATCAGTTTTCTATTATGAAAAAGTTTATCTGGAAGATTACACTGTACACATATCTAGTAACCTCCTTTATAAAATACATTTTTTAAAACTGCACATATGGAACAAGACAAGGGACACAAAAAATGGCAGTGTGTCGCTGATAGTGAAAAATGTGACTAAGATACATTTTCTCAAAATATAAAGATGCCAAGGAGAAGAAAATGAAAGCACATTTGAGACACTTGTCTACCTGATAAGGTTTCATTTTAAAGGCATGGCTTGAATTGAACCTTCTCACAAATATTAAATTCATTTATCAAATGGATTTCTTTAAGCCCTATATAATGGTTATTTGTTAACCAATTCAACTTGTATTTAGTTTAAAGCCAGTATAACGTTTCAACTCCTCATGTGTAAGAATATTCAATGTGATAAATATTTAAAACTGAGTTTTAAGATTACAGTTACACACATGTTTAAAATACACTATACTCGTCATTCCCTAAAGTGGTCCATGGTAGTGAGTCACAAGCTTAGAAAGAATATTATAGTCAAATAACTATTAAGTATTATAGATTGAAACACCAAAGTAGGTTAGTTAGCATTTTTTAAATCCATGCATACAAAAAGAAAAACTACCACTAAAACCACATGATTTAGAAGTGACTGAATTCAAGTAACTGGTATCCAGCTAATCTTAGAGAGTAAAATCTCGCATTAAATGCCTAATTACACATTAACATGCCTTTGGATAAAACTGTTTTTCCCTTGCACTAATCACTAACTAAAACAATATGTTTTACTTAATTATGTGGCGTTTTTTGCCTTAAGAATGTAAATTCCATGACAGCAGGGATTTCTTTTTTAATTTTCTCTTTTATTTACTGCTATATTTGTAGTACTTAGAATTGTGCTTGGCACATAGTAGATATTTGGTAAGTAACTGTTGAATGAATGAATGAATGAATGAATGAATTTAATGTACATGTAATTATTGAGATATAAAAGAAATTAAATGTATAATAAATATTGAATTTCTTTTGTTCATCTATGTATAAACTTTTAAAGTAAAAAGCATGAATTTTGATCTAGCTCTATTAGATAAACCACAAAAACAGTTTTTTTCTAAAAAAGCAAATACTAGTGATTACTAATAAAAAGTAATTCTAAAACTTACCACAACATTTGAATTGCCCAACTTCTGTGTCTTTGAATAATGAAATAAGAACTGTTAAAAAAAAATAGTGAGCTTTACTACAGATGATTAGTGCTTTCCTTTATTATTTTTTGATGTATATATTTATGGAAATCACCTTACCCTTTTGGTATTATCTTTTTCATCTGTTTCCTGTTGAAAAAAGAGACATATAAATATCATTATATTACATATTATAAAATATGTAGTATAAAATTTATAATATATTATCAGATTATATCATATAATTTTTTAAACATATGATGTAAATGCTACATATAAAAAATATAACACTGAAATTGGTTAAGCATATATTGCTCTGAAAATAAACCAGAAATTAATTAAATACTGTTTTTAAATGAAGGGATGAATAAAGATCTTCACTATAGCATTATTCATAAGAGTCAAAAAACTGGAAACATCCTAAATGTTCAACAGTGGTGGAATGGGAAATCATGACATGATTACATGACAGAATATTCAGAGAAAAAGACTAGAAGGAATCACATCAAAATATTTGAAATTGTTATACTAAATAATAAGATTAAGAGTTATTTTTGCTTCCTCCCATAAACTTTTCTATATTCTTCTCTCCCTCCAAAAATCTATGTTTTCAAAAACAAGTAATATCATTCCTTTTTTGTTGTTCTTTTTTGTTCTCATTTGCTTTTAACATAAAAGGAAACTCATGGATAAACATCATTGTCATTTCTTTTATCTTAATTAGGAAAAAAGGTCAGTTAAGGGCCGGCCCGGTGGCGCAAGCAGTTAAGTGCTCGCGCTCCGCTGCCGTGGCCCTGGGTTCCCCGGTTCCGATTCCGGGCGCGCACTGACGCACCGCTTAGCAAGCCATGCTGTGGCAGCGTCCCATATAAAGTGGAGGAAGATGGGCATGGATCTTAGCCCAGGGCCAGTCTTCCTCAGCAAAAGGAGAAGGATTGGCAGATGTTAGCTCAGGGCCGATCTTCTTCACACACACAAAAAAAAGGTCAATTAATTGTTTTAGAAAATGTCACCATTAAAAACACTGGAAAAATACACACTTGTTAGTTTGCAAACACTTATTAGTTTCATAAAACATTTATCCTTTCAAAATATCAAGATTTCTTTGAATTATTATATGTGAAAGGTATAGAAGTCAGAACGTACCATGATCATAGATTAAATTAGAACCGCTAATGAAAAATATAATTCTAACCCTGAGACTCTTATCCTTAATAAGGTAGTTTTAAAATAAGTTCATCTATACGATACAGAATATAAAATGAGTATGTTACATTTCACTATTTTTCCAAGTTCCCTCCTATCCTCATTTCAGGACAAAAAGTTCTCCCAGAAGAAGCAAATAATTTTAATAAGAAACCAAGACATCACAGTTAGAATATAATTTTCAAACTGATATTGACAGTAGAGTTTGCTTTTTTTGCATTCTTAACGCCCTTCTCTCTAACAAAGATACATCTGTTCTCCAATTGTATTGTGAGTCAGAGAAAACAAGAGCCAAATGACCCCAAATTTCTCTCATCAGAACTAGAACACATCTTATACTTGAGGGGGACATATGATTTTCCTATTAAATGATTGTAAACATTATTAATAAGACCGTAAATTCTCAGACATCAGAGAAACTGAAGTATTTGTTCCTTATCTAAAATCAACTTATGCTCTTCTAGCTCCTCTTGGCATGCTTCCTAAATTGGATATATTTTCTTCCAGGAGAAATTCCACGATATCACTGAGCAATTTTTTGCCTAGAAATAAAACACTATTTCAACCTTACCTGGGGCTTTGGTAGAGTCCCCATAATGGTGAAGCAAAGCTCCTCCAATGCATTGGATGCCTGATGGAAATGAGAAGATTTATAGGCTATGCTCCCGCTTTAACAACACTTGCATAGAAGACAAAACCGTAGAATGTTAGGAGCACAACGATATTCCAACTACTCAGAAGAGAATCCTTCTTCTGGCCCATTGAAACTCTGTTGGAATCTCTTGATTTCCCATGACAAAACTTGGCTCCTAAAAGTAAAAACTGCCTTTCAACTAGGAAAAAAAATGTTATGTACTGTATATATGCACTGATTAAGGCTTCCACAGCAGTCCAGATTAATAGTTCTCAGTACTTGCTAAGATTCCATGAAATTCTATGATTGAGAGTAACTAGGGCAGTGCCAAAAGAGAGATGATTCTTCCCAGCTTGTAGCAAAGTCTGAATCTACATGCCAAAGCTGTGAACCTCACTGAATATTACTCATTATGGGCTAATTTGAAAATCCTGCAATTGCTCTCAAACAATGGGAGTTGGAGGGGAAGAAGCCATGCATGGTGCACCTAATCCAAGCTACCACCCTTCCAGGCTGCTGACTGCACACCCCAGGATCAGGTTCTTCAAAGCATCTGAGCACAGATGTAGGGCAGGGCTTATTGTGGTGAGCAGCCAGCTGGGTGTGGTGAGGAGCAGCACAAACAGACAAGCAGAGGCGAAACTAGCTTTGCATAGAATTTAGCACAGCTGTACCACGAACAATTGATTACTTAATAAATGCACACTGGAAATAATGAGGAGCTGGAACAGTGTGTGTGAGTGTGTGTGTGTGTGTGTGTGTGTGTATGATATAATTAGTGGTTAAAAACATGGGCTACAGAGTTGAGCACGCTGCAAATCCATAGCAGTGCAAATTCCCTTTCTACTCTTTATTAGCTGTGTTACCTTGGGCTGGTTACCTAACCTCTCTAAACTTTAGTTTCTTCAGCCATGAATCAGGGTGACAACACCACTGCAGAGAGTTCTTGGAAGGATTAAACATAGGTAAAGCTCTTAGTACAGTGCCAGAACACAGCAATTAGTTAAAAATTAGTAGCTCTAAAAAATAATAGTATTAAAAAACGCATTTAAAATAAACACATTTAATAGTAGCATTAAAGAATGTAAAGCAATGATTTACAGCTGTAGTTACTTTTAATTTAGAAGACATGTCAAAAGAATTGTTCAGGGCCACCAATATTGTCAGGCTTTGAACAACAGTGCATGTTTAATATGGTTGACTGCAGTTAAGGACACGGTTGGAGTCATAAAACAGCTTCTCTGAGCATCCTTCCTAGCATCAGAGGTCTGCTTTGTTCTCCTTCATTTGTTCTCCTGCCATGCAAATTGTTGGGATATTTATTAATAATATTAAATGGCTCATATTTTTTTGTGTGTGAGGAAGATCAGTCCTGAGCTAACATCTGATCCCATTCTTCCTCTTTTTTTTTTTTTTTTCCGGCTGAGGAAGACTGGCCCTGGGCTAACATCCGTGCCCATCTTCCTCTACTTTATATGGGACACTGCCACAGCATGGCTTGACAAGCGGTGTGTCAGTACGCGCCTGGGATCCAAACCTGCAAACCCCAGGGCGCCGAAGCGGAGCACAGGCACTTAACCGCTGCACCACCAGGCCAGCCCCATAAATGGCTCATATTTATATAGTGCTTCAATAAATTACAAAACACTTTCATATATATAACTCACATTCTGTCCTCAAAACACAGCTGTGTAGTATACAGGACAGAAACTGTTATTCTCATGAATAAAGGAAGCAAGGTTTTAGGAGACTGTCACTTGCCCAATACCACTCATGGCTAGTAGGGGGAGAGTGTGGCCTGGGAGCTAGGTCTTCTGACCTTTAGATATTCCTCTGTCACACTGGTATTGACTTGTTAGGCCTATGGTTGGGAGACGGACGAGACAAAAAGAGTGTGAACACTGATACACCTTTTTTCACTTTTTCCCTTCAGGGATGGGTACAGACAGGTCACTCCATAAAGATCTGGAAATAAATCCCTAAAACTTCCTTTTATGGCTCATCTAGAAATGCTGCAAAATACAACACAATAAAAAGAAAATAGCTAGTGATGTCATGTGGCAAAGATGTATCTCAACTCGAAGAATAAATTCAGGTATACGAGCATCTCCTCAGAAAAAGCTGCTAAGGCAGATGAGGCTTAGCAACAAGATTGAAGTTTGGCAGAAAAGTTTCAAAAGAAATTGCGTTTTCTCCAGCAACGCTTTACACAAAGCAATTATGATGAAATACAACTATTCTTTAAGAATTTTTTTCATACTAAAATTTTAACATATTATTTTTTATTTGTGGACTTGAAAGATCCTTTATTTTCTATTGGGTAAAAATTTTTTGAAGCACTGTTCAGATAATCACATAAATAAAATAATGCAAAAATGACAGATTTAAAAAATTGCATCAGTTAATGTAAAAGATTCCATAGTAAATCTCAAGCTCTCCTCAAAAGATGCACAGTATCCAAGTTCAATAAAAGCTTAGTTTTTCTTTCTTTTTTTTTTTTTTTTGCTGAGCAAGATTAGCCCTGAGCTAACATCTGTTGCCAATCTTCCTCGTTTTTTTTGCTTGAGGAAGATTAGCCCTGAGCTAACATCTGTGCCAATCTTCCTCTACTTTACCTATGGGTCGCTGCCACAGCGTGGCTGACAAGTGGTGTAGGTCTGCGCCCGGGATCCGAACCCATGAACCCCAGGCCGCCGAAGCAGACCATGTCAAACTTAACCACTGTGCTATGGGGCTGGACCCAAAGCTTAGTTTTTCTTGATGGTGTTTAGATCAGTGCCTTAAAATTCATCCTTTTAGTACTGCAGAAATAAAAGTGATTCTGAGGGTGTTCTTGAATTGCAAATACAACGCAAAAGCTTGTATGCTGATTAATATCTATCACATGTTATATATCCATCAATGCTCCTCCAGTAATTTAAAATACTATTTATAAATGTCATCTATTGTGATCCTGGTCTTGCTTTACCATCTAACGCCTATAACTTCCTGCAAGTGATCCTCTGCAGACTGAGGAACAGGTTGAGGCAGGAGAAATACAGCACTATGCAATGCTCCTTCTCCACACCAGCCAGGACGACATTCTGGAAGGACAGTGTGAAGGAGACGGCACCTTGGCCCAACCATGTAGGGGTACGCCCCAGGCACACAGCTGACTGCTCTGAAAGAGGTTGAGCCAAGAGCCTCTACTAAGCCCTCTTCTCTGACCAGGAGACTAGTGACACTGATTAAGAAAGTCAAGACACTAAGGCCAACTCTGCTGTGCTTGCACTCAAAGAAAGAGCTGCAGACACAGGCAGCAGCATCCAGTAGAAATGGTATCAGGAGGACACACTTATTTCCCACTCCTCATGTTTTCCATGCACAGTTCAGGCAAATAAATTCCTCAATATTTATTTTTATGGTCACTATTTCCTCCCTAAATTCTTCACATTCTTAAACTAAACTTCCATCAAGGAAGACAGTATCTGCTGCCAACTTAAATGAGAAATGTAAGAGGAACCATAGTAGCCTCTTAAAATTTAGAATTTCCTGTATGAAAAAAAATCAAATCAGTTGTCATCAGACTTTCTAGAGGTGTAATATATGCTTTTTTGAATTAAGTTTTAGTTTCTGAAGACTTTGCTTGACTTATGAATAGTATAAGATTTTGATGTAAAGATCCAGTTTCTTAAAATACACCGACCAATTATTAGTTTACTACATCACTTCAATGTCAATATACCAAAGCTAAATGCTTAATTCTTTCCTACGGGAAGAGGAGTTGCCTGAGAGATGACTGGGAGTTGGAAATTGGGCATGCTCTGTTCAGCCTTTTTCTCTTTCAGAACCAGCTCTCTGGCCAACTGTTCTTGTCTGGTCTCTGCCCTGTGACAGAAAACCTGTCTCTGGCCAAAGTTCCTCAGTCACTGTCTAACCCAGTTTAATTCTGGGGGGTAGTTTTAGCAAACACACCTGGCATCAGATCTAAGGCCACATTCACAAATTGACTTTTCAGTTACGATGATATTTTGAGCTCCATAAGTCTGACTCTATAAGTTTGTCTCTCAGTGGGTTTCAGACTCAATTGGGGGACAGGATATTAGCCCCCAAATACAGCACTAGATAAATTATTTTTAATCTAACACAGAATTTGATTTTTAAATTAGCATTTTAATAGCCAATCTATTTTTCTTAGAGATAAAAGTCCTAGCACTTTACAACATACGCTCACAGCACTGATTATTACCTGCAGGTGATGTAATAATTTCTAATATGTTGACATGTTTTAATAAGTCCATAAAGTAATGAATCACAGGTCCAAAGAGAAAAATGGAGCATTTCAGCACTACACAAATGCCTACATCATTACAAAACACCTACAATTGGAATTACCTGAGGCTGAGAATCGATGGACAGGAGAAAAGAGCAAGCAGTATCTATCTGTGGAAAACAAAAAATGCCACTTACATCTTGGAAATAGACAAAACGAGAGCAGAAAATGGAAAGCAGATTTTACAAAGTCAAGTTACCCACGTAACATTAATCGAAGTTCTGTGACAGCTTAGGACTCTGGATTTGGGAGAGAGGAGTCTCTTAAACTTTCTAAGGAAGTACTGGAATTGGGATTTGCCCCCAGCCACAGGGGTATATGACCCTAAGAACAGTTGATAGGAATCATCAGAGAGTATAAAGATGCTTCACACATTGCGGGAAAGAACTTCGGATATTATCCAGCCTGAGAAAGGTGAGAGGTGACTAAAGAACGGTCTCGAAACCAAGGAGCACCCTGTTAGCATGTGCTTCTTTATTACATATAAACATAATCACACCAGCTAAATTCACATGTTAATGGCATAATAAGCGCTAAACGATAAACTGCATACAGTAAAAACTCTTACCCAACACGGACTATCCACTAGTTAGAAAAGGTTCTATTCTAAAATGAACGCTTCTTGAACTACAGTTGGCAACTAGCTGTTCTCAGCCTTTATCCTAAAGAGAGAACTTGAAAGACGTTAAACTGTAGTACAAGAGATTTATATTAATCATTAAAAAAACTGTGCTGAGAAGTTAAGCATTAAGCTGGATGTCTGAATTGTTTATGGCATTGATTTCTTTGGTGACCTTTTAAAATGGGACTGGAAGAAACGGTACTATTCTTGTTTGTCTGGGATGATTTAGGTTGAGTCCTGTTTATGGTGTAACATCTCAAGGGGTCCCTTCGAGTCCCAGAATTCTTTGTTGATCAATTTAAATCAATTTCTATTCTCACATCAAGCTGAGGGGGGATTATCATACACTTCAGTCGTAATTTCTCAAACTCTTTCTTGCTTCCAAGTTGCACATGTCCTAAAATACATAATTCTCTAATTTAGAGAATAACAAATGGTGCAATATTATAGGAAAGCACAAGCTTATCTCTCTCTCCTTTTTATCCTCACAGAATTTGTCATCTTCTCTGTATATCACAAATATTTGGGGAATTGTTTAATTCCACTCGTCCCTTGTACCCACCCACCTACTCCCTCTTCCACGCCATACAAACCCAGAATCATGGATACAAAGACACACACATACACACACACAAGGGATAAACTTCTTGATGGCAGGGGCTATGCCATATCGAACTTGCCTAGAATAAGTGTTCAATAAGTGTTATTAAATTAAATTAAACATGGGGAAAAAATAAAAACAGAAATCAATTGAGAAGGGAAAGCCAAAAGGATACCCTTTGAAGCTTTGAATTGTGACCAGTGCATAATATATCACCTCCAAATGTTATTTGGTGTGCTTCAGTAGGGCAGGAGGAAGTGGTTCCTTCTGAAATTTCTGTGGTGCTTAGGTATCTGAAGACATTACATGCTCAGGAGGAAAGCTGTCCACCCTCAGACCAGGCTGCCCACCTGTGTGAAGTGGCCACATTCAAGAACAGAGAATTCTTGAACCTCAGGGCTAACTAATCAGTGCATCAATATTGGTTGAATAAAAGCACCAGAATAAGAAAAAACACCAATTAATCAAATTAGGACATAATTGCAAAGCTTTTCAGTCTTTCTTTAAAAGTCACAGCAACATTGCTCACCCACTTTCTATTTGAGTAAGCATTTGTTCATTTTACTCAGCTTATGGCTCTAAGGGTTTTAAGTGCCACTAATTGCTTTTGAGAACTCTGTAGAGTCCATTGATGAATCTGTTTGAAGATGGTTAGGTCTCTGTACATGGTCTGAAAAGTACGTGTGTGTCTGAATAGCTCTGTAATTTTTAAAACCTCCAGCGGAAAACTGAACTATATGTTCTTAGCATCTTAACTTCTTTAAATATCTTTTTCTGTAAGAGAATTTATAGTGCTTTTACAACTGTATTTGAGGGTTTTCCCAGCATTATCGTCTAAAATATTTTTTCAAAGATTTTCTGCAGCAATATAAATGATTTCAAAATAAAATAGATGTTTCTGTATTATACATTAATATCTGTCTAAATTATTCTTCATCTTGTTTATATATTTCTAGTATGTATTTTGATATACCAAGGCAGAGACCCTTACAACAGACTTTATGGATTTCTATGCTATTGAAGACTGTTTACTACTTGGCACTTATCATCTATCTTTTCCCTTATGTATTTTGTTGGGGGTGGCTTAGGTACAAAGGGTATTCTCCTCAGTTCATAGCTCACTGTCATTATTGGACTTGCCTTATTTATTTATTCTTTTTATATTTTCACTCCCTACTCCTATTCCACCCTCCCATAGGCACCTCTTCTAATGTAGTTGACGTGTATCCTCTGTTTGTTTAGGTTCTTGTAAAACCTGTACTGCTGTTTGCTGTGCACGTGTGGTATTTTCTTACTTTTTTTCACTTAACACTGTACTTTGCGATCTATCCATGTTACTGGGTACATCTAGTATATTGCTCCTAACGGCTGTATAGTACTCCATAATGTGCACCCGTCACATGCTGCCTACCGACCCCCCAGTAATGGACAGCCAGTTCTCTCCAATTCCTTCCATTACCTCCTTGTATGCACCCGCCACTTATGGATCTGTAGGAGACTATCATTGGGCTATACACTCAGGAGAGGGAAGGCTATGGGGATACCCAGGTTGTTTTCCAGATGGCTCCACCAGCTAACACTCTCACCATCAGGGCATGAGGGTTCATACACCCCACATCCTTGCTAACGCTTGCCATTATCTAGATTTCAATTTTCTGCCAGTCTAATGGGTGGAAAGTGACACTGTGCTGTTGTCTTAATTTTCATTTCATTATTACTAATGAATTTGAGCATCTCTTTAGATGCTTGTTGGCCTTTTAGGTTTCATCTTTTAAATGGTTCTATCTTTTGATTATTTTAACTTTGGATTCCTGTTTTTATCCAATGGATTTGATAGTTTTTCTGGGGTATTCTAGAAATTAATCCCTTATCAGTTTTATACATTGTTAATATCTTCTTTCAAAGGCTCTTACCTTTTCTTATGGAGTCTTTTGTTGAAAGAAATCTTTACTTTTACTTTTAAATTCAATTCATCACGTTTTTGGCCTTATGATTTATATTTGAAGTTTTATTTAAGAAGTCTTTCCCTGCTCCTAGCACACAAAGACATTTTCCTAATAGAAAATATTTTCCATTAACTCTAAAATTTTACCCTTTATATTTAGATCTTTAATCCACCTGGAGCACACCTTTGCATTGGGTGTTAAGTGTTATTTTTCTCCATACAGCAAGCCAGTTTCTCAACCTTCATTTGCCAAACCATCTGTCCTTTCTCCACTGAATTTTAGTGTTACTTTTATTGTAAATTAAGTTTATGTGTACATGCATTTCTGTCTTAGGATGGGTTCCCCCAGAAACAGACTTGGAGATAAGGATGTAGATAGAAGTGGATTATTTGGGAGATGACCCAAGAAGCACTAGTACAAGAGTGGAGAGGTAAAACGGGGAAGAGAAGGAATCCAATAAAGGGTACGTCATCAAGCAGATTACCACCACAGGTAACTGGGGAAGTCTAGGAGCCAGCGCAGAACTCAGAGTTACCCCAGATGAGGGGAGAGGCAGCTAAGGTATTCAGCCACCAACTCCGTTGGGTCACCAATTCTCAGTGGTGAGGGCATTTATTCCCAGGCACTTCTGTTCTGCCCTGAGCACAGACCAAGCAGGCAGAGTTACAGGTGCTTGCAATTAGAAGCAGTAAATTTGGAGCGCTCTGGAATGGTGAATGACAAAGGGATATGACAAGGCACCAACAGTGTCTGCTAAACTCTCCAAATTCAAGTCTCTCTTCCATTGGTTCATTTGTCTGTTCTTGTGCTATTACCATACTTTTTTTTTTTTTTTTTGGTGAGGGAGATTGGCCATGAGCTAACATCTGTGCCAATCTTACTCTATGTTGTATATGGGACACCGCCACAGCATGGCTTGATGAGCGGTGCGTAGGTCCACGCCCAGGATCCGAACCCACGAACCCTGGGCCGCGGAAGCGGAGAGTGCAAACTCAACCACAACACCACCAGGCCAGCCCCTATCATACCTTTTTTATTACTACAGTTTTATAGTACTTCTTGATATCTGGTAGGGCAAGTTCTCACTCTCAGCTCTTTATATTTAAAATTTCCTTAGCTATTTGTAGACTTATGTTTTTCCATATCAATTTTAGGTTAAATTTATGAAGTTTCTGAAAAAAACTAAATGGAATTCTGATTAGGGTTACGTTGATTTTATGAGGTTTACGTTGATTAACTTGGGTATAACTGATATTTTTATTACATGAAATTAATTGTTCCATCCAAGAGCAAAGACTGTCTCTCCATATATTCACATCCTCTTCTATTTCCTTTATTAAAATTTAATATTTTTCTCCTTAAAGTTATTGTATATTTTTGGTTAGGTTAGTTCCTAAATACTTATAGTTTTTGTTGCTATTGTGAATCATATATTTTTAACTTTATTTTCATGTTACTTTTTCCTAGTGAAAAGAAATATTATTGATTCTTTAATTTACAATTTGAATTTACAATTCAAATAGTATTGATTGTATATTGGCATTATATCCAAAAATCTTCTGAACTCTCCTCTTAGTTTTAACAGTTTAACAGCAAGAAATTTATTAATATAATTCACCATGATGATAGACTAAAGGAAAAAAGGCATATTGCTTATCTTAATATTGAGGCTGGTAAAGTATTTGATTAAATTCAAATTTTGTTGAGGATTAACAAAACTCTGAGCAAGATAAGAGAAGAAGAGAACGTCTTTAACTAGGTAAAGGCTATATAACAAAATTCTAGAGCAAATTTATACTTTATGGAGAAGCTTTGGATACGTTTATTGTGTAACATAGTACTGGAGGCCTTGGCCAATGATACAAGAAAAAAAGAAATAGTTTCTTCAGTGCTTATCATAGTACTATTGCACCTTTCCGGCATCAGATATTTTTCTAGGAATCTGTCCATTTCATCTAAGCTTTCAAAATTATTACCACACAGCTGTTCATAATACTTTTTTTTTGGTTAACATCTTTATTGAGATATAATTCACATACCATACAACTGGTTCATTTAAAGTGTACAATTCAATGGTTTTTAGTGTTATTTACAGAATTATACAACCATCACCAGTCAATTGTCCATAATACTTTTTAAAAATATTTTAAAAATCTCAATTTTTCTTGGTGGTCTACCCTTTTTCAGTCTATATCTTGTTTATCTTTATCTTCTCTCTGCCTTTTTAAATCAGTGCTGTCAGTGATTATTAACATTTTGAAAGAACAAACAAATGGTTTTGTTAATACAGTTGATTTGTTCTCCCTCTCTCTCTCTTTTTAAAATTGATTTCTGCTCTTATTTTTATTATTTACTTCATTCTTGTTTCTTTGAATTTTCCCCACAATTTTTAGTTGAATGCTTAGCTTACTTGTTTTTAAATTTTCTTCTTTTCTGATAAATATGTATGAAGCTAAAATTTCTCTATAGCTACTGTTTTAGCTGTAGCCTACAAATTTTGATTTATAATGTTTTTATGTCATTCAGTTCTAAGTATTTTGTAATTTCCTTTTTAGCCCAGGGTTATTTACCAAAATGTTATTTATTTTCCAAACAGATGGGATATTTAAGTTATACTTTTGCTATTAACTTCTAATTTTATTGCATTATGATTGGAAAACATTTTAAATGAACCCTTTTTAACTTATGGAAACTTTCTTTGTGTTCTGACACATGGTCTATTTTTTTTTATGTTCCAATATACTCAAAAAGAATGTGTATATTATTTAGCGTAGGTTTTTAAAAATATTTCTAATAGTTCAAATTTATTAATTGTACGGTTAGGTCTTTGATTTATCTACTTCTCTGTTATCTGCTTTAACTGTCAGTTTTGAGAGAGGTGTACTAAAATCTCCAACTACAAATGTTCATTTATCTATTTTTTCCTGAAGTTCTATCAGATGTTAAATTTTGAGGTTGTTTTGTTAACATATATAAATGATGGTTGTATCTTTTTGCTGATTGTTCTTTTATTAGCACATAAGATTCTGCTTTGTTATGATAGCTTGTTCATTTGAATTCCACTTTATCAGATATTAAGACTGCTATTCCAATTTTCTTGCCATTCATATTTGCTTGGTACATCATTTTCCTTCCTTTTATGCTTAGTCTTTTTAGGTTTTCTGTTTTAAGTGCGACTCTTATAGACAACTTATGCTGGCTCTTTTTTAAAAATACAATCTGAGAATGTCTTTTCAGTGGTGTATTTTAGCACATTCACATTTATTGTAATTATACTATTATTAGGACTTATTTCTGCCATCTTTACTATTTACTGTATTTTTTCTTTTCATCTTTCCTTCTTTCATTTATAAAAATAATAATTCTCACTATTAGGATATCAGAATGTTAGTAAAATCATAGTTGTCCCAAAGCTCAATTATATTATTTCATTTCACCGTGATAATTTCAAAGAAGGGTAGAGTTTTCACTAATTTGTTTGAGGATAATTCTTTACCTCCTTCCACAACTGTAGTTCTTGTTCAGGCCGTAATCCTTGAGGTAATATTGGAGCACCTAAAAATAAAGTTATACTCACATGTTAATTTTATAGTGTTTCTTTTAAAATTAAATATTTATATATAGTTCACTTTTGGATGATATTTCTCATTTTTCACTGTCAATCACCACCCTCCTATTTCAACTAGATATTTCAGCATTTGACTTAGTATAAGGAGACATAATTATTAAATAAATCTTAATAACATTACAAAGACATTACTCTCAAGAATGAATTACCTATATGTCAACACAAAAACTTGTACATGAATGTGCATAGCAGCATTATTCATAATAATCCAAATGTCCATCATCTGGTGAAGAGATCAACAAAATGTGGTACATCCACACAATGGAATACTATTCAGCCATAAAAAGGAATGAACTACGTATATATGCTACAACATAGATGAACCTCAGACATATTATGCTGTCGAGCCAGATGCAAAATACCAAATATTGTATGATTCCATTTATATGGAATGTCCAGAAAAGGCAAATCTATAGTGATAGAAAGATTAGTACTTGCTTGGGGCTGGGTGTAGGAATGAATTTTAAAAATTATTCAGTGAGTAGGGGCCTGAGTAGAAAAAGATACTTCTTAATTTAGTCTTAGGTACTTGATCATTTATTGTCACAGGCCAAATCAAGTGACAGTTTGTTGCACACATCTAGAAATGTGCCCCTCTTATAGGAAAGTTCCTTCTTTATTTTAATAATGTTCTCTGAATAGTAAACTGTTTCCATCCACTGAATCTGTGGCTGGCCCTTATCTTCTTAATGCCATAACATGCTCTGCTAACTCATTTTTGCCAAGGATGCTGTACTTATTGACACTATTTTGTCAATAGTGGCTTTGTGACATGTTTTGTTGTGTCAAGATATATCCAGTTACATCTTGCATAATGATTAATCTTGCTAGATTGTCTCCCAGTTTTGCTTATGTATGTCATGCTTCCCCTTCAGTGCCATCTTTAGGGATTCAGGACTAGGGCATATCACATTGTATATTTACCCTCTCCTCTCCTCATCACATTTTTAGAGAGATAAAATTAAATTTTTAGTACCAAGAGCAGGTCTTAAGGGGAAAGAAAACATAAAAGGGTAGTTTAGGGGGGTCTCTGTGTGGTGAAAGAGCTGTCTCATCCCTTTGCTTGAGAAAAATTGGGGATATTTATGAGATGATTGGTCAGCCAGCAGACATGTTCTTCTGGAAATAAAACCCAACAGCTGTCTTTTTTGGAAACCAGCTGCTGCATTCCATAGTTTCTGCTCAATCACCAGCAGCCTGAAATTTCCCCCACCTCCCAAAAAAGCAGGTATCTCCCACTGATGCCAAAATCACTGCAAACATATGGCACGTAACATGCATGGAAAGTACATTTGCTTTATAGAGTAAAAGCCATTTTTAAAACTATCTGCTTCCTTAATAAAACAGATAAACATCCTAATTTTATCAGTAACAAATTTAAAATTGAAAAAGAACACCATTACTTTGCATAAATCATGTTGTATCACTGCTGGCTATGTGACAGACAAGGTTTAGGTCTCTTAGCTTCTGACTGATTAGACTTCAAAGCCAAATTACCTTGCTTTTCAAGCAGAGGAGACATCCCCCTCCCCCTCCGCTCCCAGGTCCAATTCCTCAAGGAAAGGAGAATATCAAAACAATGAAAGGACAGCAATAAAAATAAATATATTAGGAAAAGAATAATAGCTTCAGTTTCCCCACCTCTAATTGAAGGCTGGGCTACACACTCTCTGAAAGGTCCCTGCAGTTATGGTTTCAAGACCTGAACGTTCTGAACAATGATGAAATAGTCTGCCCACCTTTATCTCACTGACCAGAGAGCAGAGGAAAGCTAAGAGAACCTGCTGTGAAGCTAGAAAATTCATGGTCTTAGCAGGGCAGTGGCTGACCCTGGAGGGGCCCCTGGCTCAGAGCTGGGAAATGAAGAATGGTCCCCTCAAAGTACCTAGAAAGGTAACCTTTAAGGAATGGGTACGTGATCTCCCCAGTGGAAAATGTTGCGCTCTTCTCTACCTTGTCTCCCAAGATTCAGACCTCCCTCTCCGCCCTTGCCTTTGCTTGCCCCACTTCTTTGCTCTAAGCCAAGCTCACGAAGTCCCTATTATTATCGAATCACATCTGCCTTCACTGGCTCTAGCAGTAGCACCGACTGAGGGCCAGGCTTGCACACTTGTCTTTCGGACTCTGTATGATAAGAAGGTCTCTATTCCTTTTCCTGACCTGGGGCCTGAAAACCCACAAGGCTTAGAGCCCACTCTTTTACCCCGTTCTAACAGAACAGGAACTCACCAAAAGAGTTGAGCACTATCCAAGTTTACCTCGCATCAGCAGGTGAAGCATCAAACTCACTCTAGTTTGCTTCAACCATCGATCCCTTCAGTAATTGCAATCAAAGGGAAAGCATTTTAATTCTCACCGTTTTAACTCCCGTTACCCATGGGCCAAGGGGTTTGGGCATCCCGAGTCTGAGAGAGCCCTCCAAATTTCCGCCAACCACAGGCGGCCCCGCGCCTGCTGGGCGCCAAGGCGCCGGGCCGGGGGGTTTCGGCCGGCCCGGGAACGCGCTCGAGCCGGGCCACTGGCACCTGCGCCGCTGGCTGGTCCGGCGACCCGCGCCTGCCGTCCAGGGCGAGAACCCGGGGAGCCCCGCGGCCAGAAGCCGGGAGTAGAGGCGAGACAGGGAGGGAAGAGAGCGCGGCGAGTGGAGAGCGGAGAGGCGCGAGAAGCGGCGCGGGGCCGGCTCACCTCGGCAGGCGCCCGCGCAACAGGCGAGCAGCAGCAGCAGCAGCAGCGGGGACGCCGCGGCC